TTACCAATACTTTTCTGGGGGTTCCTAATATATTTCTAGTATAGTTGGCCCCAAAACCCTGTTCTAATTATTCAGGCCCCTACATTATATGAATGCTAAACCTATACCCCAAGCCCTAAATCCCAACGTATATGAATGCAAGCTTCAATTCCCTAAACCCCAAACCCTAATCCCCAAACCCTAAACCCTGAACCCTAAACCCTAAACCCAAAACCCTAAACCCTAAACCCTAATACGACCTCAAGGGATGAGAATGCAAGCTTCAATGATGCTCACAGCGCCATCGGAAGTCATCCTTGGGGATCCGTTCCTGTGCAGGCGAAGCTGGGCGGGGCTGAGTGCTTTCTGGGGGTTTAGGGCTTTCGGGTTTTGGGGTTAAGGGGTTTAGGGGTTTACGATTTTGGGTATTTTTGCGAATTAGTAGATTTTGGACGAACCCGGAGTGCTTCTTGAACGAGTAGCTGGCTGCTGGTTAATTCAAGTACGGCGCCTGGGGGGTGCTTGTTGCTACGCTATCTTCTGTGGATCCTGCACCAAGGTTTAGGGTTTTGGGGTTTAGGGTTTAGTAAAGGTTTAAGGTTTAGGGTTGAGGCCCTGCACCCTGAAATGGACACAAAGCGAAGAGCTGCTAACCAGGACCCTCCTTGTACCCGCAAATAGGGGTATATGCCGCAAAGAATGGGTCTTTAGGGTCTTAAAGAGGGTAGGGGGAGGGTCTGAGAATGTTCCCTGAGCCTCATCACGAGCTGGGGGTTTAGTTTTGCTCAGGGTTCCTTTGAAGGAACTACAAAGGCTCCTATATAATGGATATAGAAAGGTACTACAAGGATTTAGGGGTTTAGGGGCCCATGGTTTTAAGATTTAGGGGGCTTAAGCGTTTGTGGGGCTTGGGGTTTGGGGTTGCCAGTGACCCCAGAATAAGCAGTGTGCAACAGGTTCACTTCATGCATGATTCAGATTGTAGGGTGCGGGCCTGTGGCGTGGTGTTGGAACGCCCGAACGCCAACTAAAGCCTGATCCCCTACACCCTTGTAGAACTCAGAAGCCCTTGTTTACATATAGAACAACCTTACCATTTGCTCTTTTACGAAGGCTTCTAGAAACAAACCCAACGCCCTAAACCCAAAAAAAACCCTGAAATCAAAACAAACTTGAATGAATAAACCCAGCAAGAACCTCCAACAACCCTTATCAACCTATAGAGGCCTTCAAAGACCTACCAGGCCTGTTTTCAGAGTCCTAAACCCTAAACTCTAAACCCCAAAACCCAAAACCCAAAACCCTAAACCCCAAAACCCAAAACCCGAAACCCCAAAACCCAAAACCCAAAACCCTAAACCCCAAAACCCCAAAACGAAGATCCGGCCTGACATTCGTCGCAGAAGACATTCTTCATGCTGACTTCTTGCCACGGCTTGAGCTTCTTCCTCAAGGTTCAGGGGTTAGGGGTTTAGAGATGCAGGGTTTAGGGTTTAGGGACTTAGGGATGTAGGGGTTACCCTAAACCCTCAACCCTAAACCCTAAACCCTAAACCCTAAAACGGTTAGGGTTGAAGGATTTGGGGGACTTGGGTTCTGGCCACGGCTGGAGCTTCTTCCCCTTGTGGGCAAGACTTTAGGCTGCCTTCAGGGCTAGGGTTTAGGATTTTTAGGGCTTGCGGTTTAAGATTTGGGGTTCAAGGGTTTATAAGGCTTATAGGGTTCAAGGTTCAGGGTTCAAGGTTTTCGGTTAAAGGCTCGCTTACGGGATCCATATGGGTCTTTATAAGCTTCTAAGGCTTCTGCCTGGGCTTGGGTTTGAAGGTCTTGCGTTTGGTGTTCTTCAAAGGGGCATTTTCGGACTTTTGGTTCATGCATCAGGCAAAAGTTACGGGCCAAGGGGTTTGGGTGTCCGGGGTTTAGGGTTTAGATTTAGATGGGCCTACTATTGAGGGTTCAGGGTGAGGGTTTAGTATTTAACTTCTACCGCAACCCCAAAAAACCCGGGACCCTAACTAGCACCCGAAACTACCCATAGGCCATAGTAGTTCCTTTTTGTGGCTTATATTTAGGATCCTATTTGGGAATCCCAAAAAGGAACTACTATGGGGCCTAACCCTAAACCCTAAACCCTAAACCCTTATACAAAAAGACCCTAAAAGGGACCCTAATTTAGAGAACTACTTAAATGCTGCCCGGGGTCTTCTTCGTCACCACGTGGCCCTCGCCGCAACGAAGCCTCAGACTGCCAGCACTCGAGGGTTCAGGAGAAGGGTGCGCTAAGGCCCAAAGGCTGCATGCACCCCTTAGGGCTTGGGGTTTAGGGTTCAGGGTTTAGGGTCTAGGGTTTAGGGTTTAGGGTTTAAGGTTTAGGGTTTAGGGTCTAGGGTTTAGGGTTCAGGGTTTAGGGTTTCTTTAAGGATTGTTTTAAAGGTACCATGAAGGTTCTATAGGCTTCCCTAAAGTTCTCTTGAAGGATTCCTCTAAGGGTACCACAAGGGTTCTATACGGATTCTATAGGGTTTTGGGGTTTCAAGGTCCATGTACCTTTGTAGTATATACTTAGGCCTTGAAAGGGTTCCTGTGCAGCTACTTTAAGGCCGAAGTATAGACTATGTAGATAGTGGGCCCAAACTCTGAAACTAATGTGTGCGCAGTGGAGTATACCCTAAACCCTTTCCCCTAAACCCTAAACCCTACTAGTATAGTTTTCAGGGGGTTTAGGGTTTAGGGTTTAGGGCTTGGGGTTTAGGGTGCAGCCATACAAGCGCGGCACGTTACACCTTAAACCGACTGTACACCGAAACACCAAGCTCAAGCACTAAACCGACCCAACTCTAAACGGCTGAGACCACTAAACCCCAAATCCCCCCTCACGGACCAAAACGATGTGCATACTTCCAGACATCTCGGTTACGGTTTAGGGTTTAGGTTCTTTTGAAAGAGTCACGACTTACAGGGTTTATACACTACAGAGATGTAGACACGGTCTAGGTCCAGGTGTAGGGGAACAATGCAGCTCCCAGCACAAGTTTTACGCCCCAAACCTCGACTTTTCTGAAGCACGCATCTAGGGCTCGCTTTGTAGCTGTATATGAAACATCGCTCATGGTATGCCTGTACAGTCCCTTATAATCGAAAGAAAACATACCTCACACCCTAGTCTTAATCATGTTAAAGCCCCTCAGTGGGAGTCATCTGTGGATCTTTGTGTCAACCCCTACACCCCAAACCTTTCAAGCCCTCAACCCCCTAAACCCGTAACCCCTTGAGCCTAAACCCTGAGTTATACTCAACAGCACTCATCCGCCAATCGCAGCCCGAGGTACAGCAAGCTCTCTCCTTCAGGGAGCCTGGCGTGGGATTAGGGTTTGGCGTTCCGGGCTCTGGGCTTATGGTGGACATATCGCTGG